AACAGAGATACATGGGTATTAAGTTTTTTAGTTGTTACAGTTTCTTTTTTTGTTTGCAAGGATATTTCCCGGTTCAGAAGTACACGACACCAAGAACGATAAGTCTGGGTCTGTGTAAACAAGGGGTTATGAACACGGAAATTGACGAATTTAGGAATTACATCATAATTTTTACAAAGGTTGAGGAAGCGGATATCTTTCTGTAGCTTTTTCAAGCGGTAGGAAAGCTTCTCGGTTCTTCTGAAGGTGTTGAGTGTCGTCCTGCCATATTTGTTTCTGATATATTCTGTGATAGGTTTGCCGCTCAGGTGTCGTATAGTTAGTATGAAGAGGTATACTAACACACTCGTGAAGAATTTCATCTTTATTTAGACGTTTCAAAGGTATAACTAGACCTCCATCATCAGTAAACTGTCAACAAGAACCAAATAAAAAAGTCAGTTAGACAATAATTGATACAAAAGGGTTCAAAAAACACATTATAAATACGTAAGTGGGAAAGAATAAGTACAAAATATACATAGAAATAATGACACACAAAAAAATGTAAACAATATATAAATAGAATGATATCATATATACAAATGAAAGAAACTATAATAACCAGAAAAGTAAAGAACTAACCAGAGTGTGTGTTGGTGAGGGGGGGAAGGGCTATTGGGTAAACAAGGTTGTTGCGGTAGTTGTATTGTTTAGCTCGGGTTTCATCTTCTGTATGAGTAAAGATTCCGAGATGATAAGGTCTGGGCGGGAGGAATGGCTAGATAAAATAGTGAAATCTGTGTTGGAGAAAGGGTGTGAGTGGAGTTGAGAGTGTTCTCTTATTGCCGAGAAAGATGGTTTGCTCAGCGGAAGGCCAGTCCTGAAGGATTTGCCTTTGTGTTCAAGGATGCGGTGTCGTAACCATCGTGAGGTAGATCCCACGTACCGAGCTTGGCAGCAAGGACAGGTAAATAAGTAAACCACGTTAGAACACAAGTCAGAGTTACATCTCAAAGGTTGTTTTAAAAAATTGGCTATATTGTTAGTGTTAGTGAAGACAAAAGTGAATTTGATTTGGGGGTAATTGTTTAGTAACAGTAATTTTAGTTGCTTCCTGATTTCAAAACTTAAACTACCCATGTATGGTAGTTTAACGTATTTATGATCTTTTTTAACAGTAGGGGCCATGGGTCGGTTTGAGAATCTTCTACAAAGAAAGGTTTTGGAAATTTTATCAAATAAAAACAATGGGTACCCATTATTTGCAAAGAATTCTTTCAGAAAGTTCATTTCGTCATGAAAGGTTGACCAGTTGCTACACAGGTTATATGCTCGAGTCATTAGAGTTTTAATGCTGTTAATTTTGTACACGTATGGGATGTAGCTAAGAAAGTGAAGTCCGAGGCCAGTGAAGGTTGGCTTTCGGTAAATACTTGTATGGAAGGTGCCATTGTTGTGGGTAATTAGCGTGTCCAAAAATGGTAATTGGTTGTTTTTCTGCATCTCACAGGTAAACATGATGCTCGGGTGTTTCGAGTTTAGATAGTTTAGAAAAAGGTTTACGTGTGAGGGGTGTTTAAAAAGAAGAAAGGTATCATCGATGTATCGACGATAATGAATGGGTTTGAATTCAGGCGGGCATTGTTCAAGCCAGTTCCGTTCGTGATAGCAAAGAAAGTGAAGTCCTTTTTTTGTGTGTCATTATTTCTATGTATATTTTGTACTTATTCTTTCCCACTTACGTATTTATAATGTGTTTTTTGAACCCTTTTGTATCAATTATTGTCTAACTGACTTTTTTATTTGGTTCTTGTTGACAGTTTACTGATGATGGAGGTCTAGTTATACCTTTGAAACGTCTAAATAAAGATGAAATTCTTCACGAGTGTGTTAGTATACCTCTTCATACTAACTATACGACACCTGAGCGGCAAACCTATCACAGAATATATCAGAAACAAATATGGCAGGACGACACTCAACACCTTCAGAAGAACCGAGAAGCTTTCCTACCGCTTGAAAAAGCTACAGAAAGATATCCGCTTCCTCAACCTTTGTAAAAATTATGATGTAATTCCTAAATTCGTCAATTTCCGTGTTCATAACCCCTTGTTTACACAGACCCAGACTTATCGTTCTTGGTGTCGTGTACTTCTGAACCGGGAAATATCCTTGCAAACAAAAAAGAAACTGTAACAACTAAAAAACTTAATACCCATGTATCTCTGTTGAAAACTGCACTATCACCTCTGGACTTCATTTGTATTTCAAGATTAATCAAAAGTAATGTAGACAATAAACTACAAAAAGTTGATACCATCCATAATAAAAAACTTTTGAATCTAGGTATTGATGTTAAAAAGAAAGTGAATAAGGATAAAGTTATTTTCAATTTCTCCGACAAAATTCTCACTGAGGAACAGAAAAATGTACTATCTCTGGGCCTAGATTACTGTTTGCCCCCTACCAAAATAACCTTTCACAAATTTTATATGTACTTTGAAAAATTGTGTTATAATCTCAAAACCTGTAATATCTATAAAAACAAGTTTAGCAATGTTACCAACAATATTACCACGATAGCCAACACCACTTTCACTAAATTCACACGTCAGATTAAACAGGCACGTGATTCAGAAACACTCATGTCCCCTCTACAGTCACTTAAGAATGACAAGACAATACTAATTACCAAACCAGACAAAGGACGGGGCATTGTCATTTTAAACAAGTGTGACTACAAACAAAAGATCTTAAACATTCTTAGTGACCAATCAAAATTTAAACGAATCACTACTGAGGTATCAATTCACCTATTATACCTAGAAGATAAGTTAAAAAGACTTCTGCGCACCATCAAAACATCCATCAACGAAAATACTTACAATTTTCTTATGACTTCTGGCTCCAGACCTGGCCTACTCTATGGACTACCCAAAGTCCATAAACCTAACATTCCCCTAAGACCCATTATTTCTTCAATTGGTACTTTCAACTATAATACAGCAAAATTTCTGGTTCCTATCATATCCCCGCTCACCACCAATCGTTACACGATCGAAAATTCTACCACCTTTGTAAACGAAATCACATCCCTTAAACTTCAACAACCCATTACCATGGCAAGTTTTGATGTTGAGTCATTGTTTACTAATGTTCCTCTTCATGAAACCACAGACTTAATAGTTAATAATCTAAACAGTACACATCTCAATGAATTTGGTCTATCAAAAGCTAACTTTAAAAAATTACTAGAGATTGCAGCCCATTACTCGGTCTTTACATTCGACGATTGTTTATTCAGTCAAACAGACGGTGTAGCGATGGGTTCCCCATTAGGCCCTTCCTATGCAAATTCATTTCTTTGCTATCACGAACGGAACTGGCTTGAACAATGCCCGCCTGAATTCAAACCCATTCATTATCGTCGATACATCGATGATACCTTTCTTCTTTTTAAACACCCCTCACACGTAAACCTTTTTCTAAACTATCTAAACTCGAAACACCCGAGCATCATGTTTACCTGTGAGATGCAGAAAAACAACCAATTACCATTTTTGGACACGCTAATTACCCACAACAATGGCACCTTCCATACAAGTATTTACCGAAAGCCAACCTTCACTGGCCTCGGACTTCACTTTCTTAGCTACATCCCATACGTGTACAAAATTAACAGCATTAAAACTCTAATGACTCGAGCATATAACCTGTGTAGCAACTGGTCAACCTTTCATGACGAAATGAACTTTCTGAAAGAATTCTTTGCAAATAATGGGTACCCATTGTTTTTATTTGATAAAATTTCCAAAACCTTTCTTTGTAGAAGATTCTCAAACCGACCCATGGCCCCTACTGTTAAAAAAGATCATAAATACGTTAAACTACCATACATGGGTAGTTTAAGTTTTGAAATCAGGAAGCAACTAAAATTACTGTTACTAAACAATTACCCCCAAATCAAATTCACTTTTGTCTTCACTAACACTAACAATATAGCCAATTTTTTAAAACAACCTTTGAGATGTAACTCTGACTTGTGTTCTAACGTGGTTTACTTATTTACCTGTCCTTGCTGCCAAGCTCGGTACGTGGGATCTACCTCACGATGGTTACGACACCGCATCCTTGA